TTAGAATTGATATATTCATTATTGAATAATTGCGAATTTTTCCTGGCCAATTTTTTTTGTAACACACTGTATATATAAAATGTTACAAATGCGCCCCGCCGATCACTATTTAAAATTCACTCCTTAAAAGAATCACGAATTAAACTTACTATGATTGTTGTGATCAATTCATTTTATATCATGTCATCATCAATGATGCATTTTGGCATTTAACATTAATAATTAATATTAGTCATTCATTCTATTTATAATATTTTATTAATTATAAATATACTTGAAATTTCTTCAAATATACATTTGATAATAAAAACTATAATTAATTAATAAGCTAGTGTGGTTGATTCGTAATCCTTTCTGGTGATTAATGGTTTGGCCAACTTTTTGATTTTACTATATTGCTTGTAGTGATGTTCAAGTAGTATATTTCTATTTTTTTTTTAGAGCATACAAATCTGGAAAGAAAATTGAGACACTTGACCAGAACTTGCTACAATAATAGTACTGGAAAGAAAACCTTGCCCTCGACCAGAACTAGGGTTTCTATTTGAATAAAATAAAAATTATTTTGAAATAATTCAAACAAAATAATTTGAAATAAAATGATTTGAAATAAAACAAACAATTTGAAATAAAACAAATGATTTGAAATAAAACAAATGATTTGAAATAAAACAAACAATTTGAAATAAAACAAATGGTTCAAAATAAAATGGTTCAATCCAAATTTCGTTAGCACTTTAACTTCCTTTGTGAAAAATTTTCAGAATAAATGATTATTGAATTCTTTTCCAGTATCGGTATTTATTCTGAAAGTAGGAAGTTTTATATGACCTCATTCATAAATACTTTTGAATGAATCTAGTACTGTTTTGGCATCTTTACTTTTGAGTGGATTTCTGTCCAAATCCTGGGTTGAAACATCAATAATGATATGTGAATATAGATATCCTTTTGGATCCATTGGTAATTCTAGTAAATCTGAATCCTGTGTAAATCAACAGCCAAGGCATCATAGTTTCTGTAATTGATTAATAAGCTGTTATTAACTGAACAATTTATCAATAAATAAATTGAACTTACAATTCAAATTCATCAAAAATGATTCTTGGATATTCTCAAAGAGTGAAGGATAATACAACTAGCTATCTTTTCCATTTTGGTCACTTTTTCTGAAGGTGCGCCACATAACTTGCATATTTTTAGAAGTTGTTCAATATGTGAATTTCCCATTAGTATAAGGCAGGTTTGGCAAATGTGTAATTCATTGGTGGTTCATTGGTGATTTATCGGGTCCATAATTAGTATTTTATTAATGGCAATGGACTAGTCCGAAGTCCATCAATTCTCAATGGACTAGTCAATTTGCCAACCCTGGTATAAGGCATCTTTTAAGAACTCCGCCGAAAACACAACCAATGGCCCATACATCAATTGCAATAGTATAAAACCTTTCACCTAATAATATTTCAGGTGCTTGATACCAACGAGTGATCACACAAGCAGTCAAAGCCTTATTTTTTTTACAGTAAGTATTATAATAACAATATTAAAATAATTAAAATTATCATTTCCACCTATAATTAATGAAATAAATCTTGAAACAAAAAGTACATTAAATCTTCAATTACAAACAACTTGTAACTTCTTCATTTTTTGCAAAGGTAGATATTTACAAACGTGTTATTTATATGATATCATATATAAATGTAATTAGGTTATTAATATTAATATAATAGATTATTGACAATGTAATTTGTATTAAATCCTGGCTACATTTCTATAATCAATCCAACGGGATATATGCAAAATTAACTATTCATCCACCACAACAAAAAATTCTGAATTAGAACAATTTATTTCAAGAATGAAAATAATGACTGTAATATTAAAAATTCATTAACACATACACATATAAATAAATATGTACTAAAGTATTTATTATTTGTCGATAGAAACAATTGGTTTTTTTCTTTCTGCTTGATAAGGAACTGATCCTTTTTTCGAGTGTCTTCGTAGATTTTCTTCTTTTCGTTTTTGAGATTGTAACATGATCCGATGTTTTTCTTGTGCATTCTTAATTGGTTTTGGTATATGCCTGTGTCTATTTATATATTATTTTATGAAAATAGCAACATATTAATTAAATGATTGATTGATTGATTGATTATTGTAATTATTATTTACCTTGCAATTCTTTTAACCTCTGGAAGATGTTTATAGCGTGCTTTAAGTTTTTCCGAATACTCCAAATATGATCGTTCCCTATAATCTCTCTATAAAATAAACAAATAGAAGAATAAATACACAGATCTAATAAAGATTGCACATAAATCAAATTTTAATTATCTACTTAATCAAGAAAAATTTCCCATAATTTTCCTTAACACATACAGGACCAATTTTTTCAGATGCATTAGCTTTCCAAAGTCGAACATTTCCATCATCAGATCCTGAAAGAACATATTTCGAGTCCATACTAAATTTGACACAGAATAAACGTTGCATTCGTTTTGTGTGATATATATCTCGACTGTGACCTTGACGTGCTGAAAATATTCTAAGAGTTTTATCATATGAACCGGTAACTATTTCTTCACCTGTTGGTGAATAATCTACATCTAATCTATTTTGGTAATGATTTTTTCAACCATAATAATGTTATTAATATTAATATTAAATCAATCATCATCATAATATTTATCAAATCTCTTTCTAAAAATAAAATTAAAGAATACTTTACACAGCTGAAACATGATCTTTGAGAATGTTTAATGCACTTTTCATTTTTCTCATATCAAAAGTATAACAATTATGATCTTCATTAGCCTTTATAATTTAATTAATTTGGATATATTAATACAAAATTATTATAAAAATTTATATAAATTATTATCATTATAATTAATACATACTGCAGTAAAATTAAAAGCCTCCATTGGATTCCAAGCGATAGCATTTGTTCTCATCTAGACATATTCGCAAATATATATAATATTAGAATAGTTGTTGTTAGAAACATTTTTTTTTAAAAGAATTATAACGGACAACATACTTGCAATATTAATTTTGATACTGGAGAGTTCGTCCTTAGATCATAAAGAATTATTGTTCGATCTGTGCCACAACTTGCCAGAATATTTGTCTCTGTTTGATTTAATCTTACAGTGTTAATTGTATCAACTCCCCAATCCATGCTTGTAATTGGACGTGATCTTAATAAATGAATGAATAGAAGAATGAAAATATTATTAGTAATGTGATATATAATTATGATTGAATATATATCAATTACCTATTTTCATCCCACACTTCAATTTGCGAACCAGAGGTTACAAATATTGGTTTTGAACGATGATGATCTATCGCACTAATAATTTGTCAATGTAACTATTCATTTTATGAAGAAAAAAAGTTTTTGGATACTTTATAACAAACCTAAATGCAGATTTTCCAATATATGTATTTACTGGCTATAAGTTTATCAATTAAAAAAATAATAAGGGACGATATTTAAGCTTTTCAAAATAAACCTATTTTTTGAAACAAATAAAATTATACCTCATCGTTATTTTCATCAGGATTCCATATTTTTACAGTTTTATCAGTTCCACATGAAAAATATAATCCCATATTTAAAGCACTACAACAAATCCCTTTGACAGAACTTTTATGTGCAGTTACTTTCCATACACTTTCTCGTTCTGCTAAATCCCAAATCCTCAGTTCTCCATCAACACTCCCTGAAATAATAGTTGCCAATTTTTTGGGATGTTTGGCCATACAATAAACACCATCGCCATGACCACTCAAAGCCCCCACAAATGGTTTTGCAAATAGTCTTTCCAATTTTACAGCATTAAGAGCCCTTGTATACTCGACTGCTTTTTCAAATGGGTGCAATTTGGAATCAAAATTTCGTTTAATTTTGTGAATGTCCTGTGGACTTTCGCGCGTGTACTCTGAAATGTCGCGAGAAAGGACTTTAATTTTCTATTAAAAGTTAAAATAATGTGAACATTTAATACATTTAATATAAAAAGGATTTTATTATATTGAATATATATATACCATGATTTAAATTATTTTTTTATGAAGAAATTTTTTTTATTTTGATCGAATATATGCAGAAAAAGGAAATTCGTGTGACAATAAACGTCAAACATTTGTAAAACCGCTTCAGAATTTGAAATTGCGCTTGCATGTAAATGGCAGAAACTCGCTCAATAAAAATGCTATTCTGTTGTCACAGATTTTTATCTTTTAAGAAACGATCAACATTCCTTTATCCCATTAATACTAAGCAAAGCTTTCGTCCGATACAAAAATATAATCTTTGAAAATTTTTCCAAATACAATTTTTCATGCAAATATATACTTCGATTAGTCGTTTTTGTGTCAGAAAATTTGCCATCTTAAAAATTTTTATGAACGAAATGTTATAATCGTAAAGAAAATTCATACTCTGCTGACTTTAATATGGTATAACTTTCAAAACCATAATTCGTAATCAGTTTCCGAACCCAATCAATCAAAACTTTCCGCTCAATCCCCTACAATGACTCATTATTATTATCATACTTTGTCAATTATAGCTTTGAATCATCAACGTTATTACGTGTTTTCGACTTTTAAAAAATCAAATTTTAGTATTAGCTTCGCCAACAAATCCAATTGCTATACCATTTATCTTTTTTATGTGACATACCTTACATCCTGTATCATTAACAATATCAATGTTGGTTATAAGCCATTTGATGCTATCATTTATAAAAAATCAATTAAATAAATCGCATGATCCAAGTAAAATTATACTAAAACAGGCGGAGTTGGAATATTAAGTAAATTAAGCCCTTGATATTTTAATGAATCACCTAAGTGCTTCTGCTATTTTCCTTTATTTTTTTTTCTACAAAAAAAATAATATTATAGACACCATTACAGGAGGAATATTTTAAAAGAAAAGTGAGAAAAAAGTTGTGTTTGAGATAGATTTGTGGAACTAGTTGGTTCAGATGACGAATGATCGGATTTTTAGTTATAAATCAGGAACTTCCAATTTACAAAGACATAATGGATAGCTGTTACAACTTAAATAATAGTTGTAAACTTGTTATTTATTATTATAAGATTATTTTTTAGACAATATTTATTTATTTATATAAAACAAATACATTAATACTATTGCAAATGGATACAAGTATATCATATTATTATTAACTTTTACCAAAAATTCATTGTCTGTTGTAATGCAATTTAAATATAATAATAAAATCCATTGATAATTTTTTAATTGAAGCAAGGAATCTGATTTATCAGATATGGGAGCAATCATTTGTTTATTTTATTCCTATAATAATAACAAAAATAATTAACATTATAATTCTGTAATTATAAATGAATTTCAAAAAAGGGAGATAAAAAATCTTTCAATGGTGATTATAATGTAACTCTTATTATTACAATGATACTGGCTGCAGTGTTTGAGATTCAATTGTGCCTTAACATAAAAACAAATTTTTAAAAAATCTGGCGCAAATCATCCAAACATTAACACATTTTAGGATCATTTTTAAGGTTCACTTAAGTTTTTTCTAGTTATTGTATTTATAGAAGGTATTTGATTTGTATTATTATTATTTTTATTGAACATAGCTTTATTTCTTTCATTTCCCATTTATATTGACATGTAAAACTTGATTTTTCAAATTATAATAAACACTTAATGTGTATGAATTTGATTTATTTATTTTTGCTTCCTATGTTGTAAAATAAACATCATTGTTTGTATGAGAACCTTATGCATAAAAATTATAATAACCAATAATAAAAAATAAAAGATAAAAGTAAAAAGAAGTATAATATTACAATCAAAATTAAAGTAATAAATGAAGCTATCAAAGAGCTAAAGAGCAAATACAGCCTTATTTACTATTTAAAATAAAACAAAAATCAATCAACAGTTAATATGTTTTCAAAAACAATGATATTGACTGTAAAGATAGTGTAATGATGAAAATACTTACTTCCTATTTATTATTTAAAATAAAATGGGAATCAATCAACAGTTAATATGTTTTCATAAACAATGATATTGACTGCAATGATGAAAATACTTACTTCCTATTTATTATATAAAATAAAACAAAAAACAATCAACAGTTAATATGTTTTCAAAAACAATGATATTGACTGTAATGATAGTGTAATGATGAGAATACTTACAGCCTATTTATTATTTAAAATAAATAAAAATTAATAGTTAATATGTTTTCAAAAACAACATTGGCTGAAATGATAGTAATGATGAAAACACTTACAGGCTATTTATTATTTAAAACAAGACAAAAATTAATCAACAGTTAATATGTTTTCAAAAACAATGATATTGACTGTAATAATAGTAAATGATGAGAGTACTTACAACCTATTTATTATTTAAATAAAATCAAAAATCAATCAACAGTTAATATGTTTTCAAAAACAATGATATTGACTGTAATAATAGTAAATGATGAGAGTACTTACAACCTATTTATTATTTAAATAAAATCAAAAATCAATCAACAGTTAATATGTTTTCAAAAACAATGATATTGATTGTAATGATAGAATGATGAAAATACTTACACCCTATTCATTATTTAAAATAAAGTAAAAAACAATCAATGGTTAATATTTTTCCAAAAACAATGATATTGACTGTAATGATAGTGTAATGATGAAAATACTTACACCCTATTCATTATTTAAAATAAAACAAAAATTAATCACAATTAATATGTTTTCAAAAACAATGATATTGACTGTAATGATAGTAAATGATGAGAATACTTACTTCCTATTTATTATTTAAAATAAAACAAAAAACAATCAACAATTAATCTGTTTTCAAAAACAATGATATTGACTGTAATAGTAACTTACCAATCTATTTATTATTTAAAATAAAATGAAAATCAATAATTAATAAATATGTTTCAAAAACAATGATATTGACTGTAATGATAGTACAAAAATACTTACGGAACTATTTATTATTTAAAATCAAATGAAACCCAATAGTTAGTATTTTTTCAAAAACAATGATATTTGACTATAATGATGTTTATTGCAATGGTTAAATGAAATACCTCACTTCTCCAAATTATTGTTATCATCTATTGGTCTTGCTAAAGCAACAACAGCAAAGATAGTCAAAAAGAGAAGAGAAATATTGAATTTCATTTTGATTTGTTCAGTTAATTCTTAGCAAATTTTGGTTTTTTTTCTAATTGTATGCAGTTAAGGAATTTATAAAAAATTTATAGTAAACCAGTTATTTTAAAATTTTGGTTATTCTTCGCAATCACAGATAAATGGATCCTTAAATATTCAATTTAATGTTTGTTAAACAAGAAATTGATTAATCTGGGCTGTGTGTCATATACCATAAGAAATTTAATTAATACTTAATTGAAAAGTTTACTACATCATTTTTTTTTAATGTGCCAGATAAAACATATTAAGAATATATAAATGATTTTTTATTGCCTTTAATTAAGTAAAAAAAATCAGATTTTAGGGAATTTTCATTAAGGCTCTGAACAAATCAAATTGAATTGAATTTAAAGCAATTTGATTTGATTTGATTTGTTCAGTAGTCAATTTGATTTGATTCAAATTCAAAAAAACTGAATTCAATTTGATTCATGACTCAATTCAAATCAATTCAAATCAAACCAGATTCCTAAATTTTTCTTAATGTCATATTAAATACAACGAGTGTATCTCAATTTAATGGATAACAACAGATTGAGGTTTAATAATATAATAATAAAATTCTTCTCAATATAATGAATTTCTTGATATAGTCACAATGGGTAGATGTGAGACATAATAATAAAAAAAATTTTATATGATTTTATATGTGAAACAAAAATTTTAAAAATCTGTTATGGTAAGAATTGATTATTATTATGGTCCACTGTGACAAGGTTTGAATATAATAATAATGGATTTTTTGAAAAAAATTTCTAAACCCAAACTATCTCTGCTAAACCAAGATTGTGTATATTTTAAATTTTTTATTCAATAGAGTATATTATTTAGTGATGGTAGCTGAAACTGTTTTGAAAAAAAGATAGTTTCATCTAATAAGTATCTAAATCAATCTACTTTATTTTAAAAACTCCCAATTTCAGCCATTAAAATTAGTTTTGTCAAAGTTTAGGCCAATTAATTTTGGCAATTAAGCCACCATCACTAGTTCAAATTGAGTTGAGTTGAATCAGTTTGAAGCAAATTATACATTCAAGTCAGTTCAAATCAAAATGAATCAAATCAGTTCAAATCAAATTATATATATTTAATACTCAAATCAAACCAAATCAAATCAAGGTACAATTTGAATTTGATTCAATTCAATTTGAACTGATTTGAATCAAAAATTAGGTGATTCAATTTGATTTGTTCAGAGTCTTAATTTTCATGTTTTTTATGTGTAATGTCATCATTTATTACATTAAATATTGGGATTCTAATTCAGTATTTACAATAAAAAAGACTGTGTTCTTGGTTTATTCAACTTGTTTGTTTAACAAATATATTCAGACTGACCCCTTGCATATAAAAAGTACATTATTAAAATGACACATTTTATTTTTATTATTATTTATTTTAAATTTTTTTATTTTTTTTTGTGAAAGATTGTTGGTATGTTGTATGTTGTATTGATGAACATTTACTTGTGATTCAATCATGGAGATTTGAGGTTAATATTGTACTGATTATTTATTCCTAACATAATATTTAATTGACCAGTAATAATTTATTCTCAGTATGAGGCCCCACTTTTTAATTTTAATTTTATGTGTTTATTAGTATGGTTGACTCAGTCTAAAGATCTCCTATTGTGTGCCATGTGGCCAAATTTCAAAATAGCAATTTTGTAATTTTGTAATTTGTTCAAAAATTTCAAAAATGTAATAAAATTTTTCAAAAAATATGACTTCACGTGATTTTAGTTTTCTTACTGCCAAAATTAGATACGATAGTCAAGTGCTAGTCTAAATTTGGTAATATTTTTCCTAAATTTAGAAAGGATCATAGCGGAAAATTCCTCGCGAGCATAGTAAAGTACAGTCAACCCTCCATAAGTGCACACTGTGACCTGGTCCCAAGCTCGGGACTTAGAGACAAGTGCACTCCCTCTATGTTCTGCACTGCACAGTCTTTTCCTGGCCCCGTTCATATAAAACCACCCTCTCTAAGTGCACCCTCGTGACTTTCATGTGACCATGCTGCAATAAAAATTTAGTAATTCCATGTTGCATGTACATCAAAACATTGTTAAATAATAATTCAAGTAACAAGTAAATAAATAATTCCTTTCTTTTATTACAACAAATAATTAATTCTTTCTTTTTAATAGATATAAAGAGTTATTAGAAGAACAGAATAACAGAACAACAGAATAATAGAATAACAGAATAAGAATCCAAGCAACAAAACTCTTATATTTTTTATAGTTGGGATTATTATATATAAAGGTAAAGGAAGGGCCATAACAGATAAAGAATTTTAACAACTAAAATCTAATTACACTTATTACTTTAAAAAATAAAAATACCCAGTTATTATATATCAATCTTCTAATTCATTATTATCAATAAATTAAATTAACATTATTGAATCACTGTTCACTGTAATTCATATTCTTTTATAACTTCCAAAAAAAAATAAATGTCTTCAAGTAAAATAACTTTATCTGATACCCAAAAATATGAATTTTGCTTATTTGCTGCAAATAATAAATTGACCAGAAAAGAATATGTTGCATGGATTGAACAAAAATGGGGGGTTACAGTTCATGAATCAACAATATCTAGAACTATACAAAAAAGTAGAGAAATACTTAGCACCGAAATTACCAATCCAGAAGCAAAAAGACATAAATCTGTGATTGTCCCTGAACTTGAATTGGCTCTTAAGGAATTTGTTTTAGTTTACCAACACAAAGCAATCCTAAGAGATGCTATTTTAATTGAAAAGGCCAAGCAAATTGCAACTGGGTTAGGAGTTTCTGAAGGAACATTGAAATTTTCTACTGGATGGCTTGGAAAATTTAAAAATTGTAATGTAATTCATCAAATAAAACTTCATGGAGAGGCATCATCAGCTGATCTAGCTGCCATTAGTGATGCTTTACCATTATTGAAAGGTAAATGTGGAAATTATCCTCCTGAAAGAATATATAATATGGACGAAACAGGACTTTTTTATAGGTAATTAATATTTTAATGCCAATCTTTGATTATACATATTTAAATTAAACAGAATTTGATCTTATTTTTTATTCTTTATAGATTAGAACCAGATAGAACATTAGCTACAAATAGACTTTCTGGTCGTAAAAAGAATAAAGAAAGACCTTCAATTGCTTTGTGTACAAATGCTGATGGATCACACAAGTTGAATCCATTAGTAATTGGAAAATTTGGTAAGCCAAGATGTTTTAAAAATATTAACATAAACAACCTACAAATGACATATCGTTGTAATACTAAGGCATGGATGCTATCTACTATTTTTCAAGACTGGCTTCAAGAGTTTAACAAAGAGGTTGCAAAAAAATATAATCAGCGGGTATTATTGCTCCTTGATAATTGTCCAAGCCATAAGATTGATGGTTTGGTTCTTTCTCATGTTGATATTCATTTTCTTCCTCCAAACACCACATCAAAAATTCAGCCAATGGATGCAGGAATTATTATGTCCTTTAAAAACATTATCGTCATTTACATATTAAATGGATTCTAAATCTAGTTGAGAATGGAAATGATATAAAAGATTTAAAAATGGATGTATTGCAAGCAATACAATACATTATTAAAAGCTGGGAAGATATCACACCTGAAACCATTCGTAACTGCTAGAAACATACCAAAATCCTTCCAGCTGCCATTAATGCTGTTGACAATGTTGGAGAAACTAATATTCATACATTAGAAGAACTTTCAGATTCAATTGGAGCACTTAACCTATCTAATGCTATGCCAGCTGATGAATTTTTAAATAATCCAGAAGAAGAAATCATTTATGAGGTTCCTGATGATGATGATAAAATTATTGAGGGTCTTGTAGAAATATTTAAGAAACAGCTAGAAGTGTCTATTGAGGATATCGAAGATGATAAAGATGATAGTATTGAGCCAGTGGTAATAAGTGCCAATGAAGCTTCAAAAAGTTTAAAAATTGTTTATGCATTTCTATTACAAGAAGAAAATTCTAGTGAACAATTAAAAAATGCTATTGATAAATTTATTAGTTTAAAAAAAATAAATAAAATGAAACAAACTACAATGTATGATTTTATTAATTATCCTACCAATAATTAGTGTTAGTTGATTACTCTTTTCAGTAATTAAAATACTGACATTTAATTTTTGTATTTAATAATTTTTATAAATAAAAATTTTTTTTTAATTTTTCATTAGTGTCACATGCAACCAATAAAATACTTTTGTTCCATAAATGCACCCCTCCATAAGTGCACGGTCTCACCTGTTCCCAAGGGGGGTGCACTTATGGAGGGTTGACTGTAAGTTTTTTAATTACTTGAATTTCGGGATCCCATCAAATATCACTTGTACGAAACTTACCATGTAATTTTTGTCCAAGTACAGATTTAGGCTCAAATAACATAACTCAAACTCGAGTTCCTTCTGGTAGTAAGTCATCTTTATTCGAAATTTTAGGAAGACCTTCTGGAACAGGTGGAGGATTGCGTTTCCATTTCTTTCTAATAGCTTCTATCAGCATGGGATAATCATTGGACCATTCTACAGAAGTTATTCCAGTAAACATTTCCTCTGCATTCATTTGTTCCAAGATAGGCTTTTGTATTTTTTGATTGAACTTTTCTGCAAAGCATTGCTGTCTATGTTTTCCAGGAAATCCAAATTTCGTTAGCACTTTAACTTCCTTTGTGAAAAAGTTTTGGAATAAATGATTATTGAATTCTTTTCCAGTATTGGTATTTATTCTGAAAGTAGGAAGTTTTACATGGCCTTGTTCATAAATACTTTTGAATGAATCTAGTACTGTTTTGGCATCATTACTTTTGAGTGGATTTCTGTCCAAATCCTGGGTTGAAACATCAATAATGATATGTGAATATAGATATCCTTTTGGATCCATTGGTAATTCTAGTAAATCTGAATCCTGTACTCCATTAGCCTCCCAGATAATTTGCTTTTGGTTGTTCTGAACGTTTCTCTTTTTTTGGTCTAATATGGAGATTGAAGTGTTCCTCATTCTTTAATAATTTGGGAGATACGCCAGATAATGAAAAGAGTTTATAATAACAATCTATTGGTGATGTCATTTGAGTTTCTATTTGAAATAATATATCTTAAGTTTAAAAGATGTCTCAAATTTATTGCATTAAGTGCCATGCTAAAACAAATTCTGCATCTGAAAAATTGGAAATTACTGAAAGTGGTCGAAAAAAATTAATTGGCAAATGCATTGTTTGTGGTACTAATAAACATACTTTTGTATCTAAGGATGGATTGATTAAATTAAAAACTCCTGCTGAAGAAGCTATTGCTAAGGAAAAAAAGGAAAGGGCCAAAGAGCATAAGAGAGCTGTAAAACTCGCTAAGAAGATTCTAAATAATCTGAATTCTTAGTATTAGGTATGGCCAGCTGATTAAAGTGTTTTCGAATTTTTTCATCAGAATTGATGCTTATTCTTCTTCTTCCTCAATCTGAAGATCTGTGCATTTATCAAGAATGACATCAATTTCATTAGGATCTGTAATGATATTCACTCTTAATAGATAATACACAAAGTTTACCAATTCCCAGCATAAATTGAATCTAATATGTTGAATTTGTATACATTCTCTATCCAATTTTCGAAAAATAGCATAATTTACAATATTTCCTGGATCAGCATTAAATAATTTATGGGATTCTACACAGGCTCAAATTTTTTCATTATATGCCAATCCCATAGATGTATACTTACCCTGTAGTTGAGCTCTTTTAATAAGTAGTTCTGCCCTAATATTTAACTGAAAAGTATCTTGAAATTTTTTAATATTGGCAATAGATATGCCAACATTTGGCATTAATTCTTGAGGAATACCCCAATTAAACCTGAATGTGTTCAAGAACCACTTATGGAAATCATATATAATTTCATTCTGATTTTGATAAAGTTTATTTCTGGCCTCTAATATCCATAGTTTACTAACATGGGTTACTCTAACCAATGCTGTTGTAGGAAGGTATCTGAATATATTTTCAAGAATTTCAGGTATAACTAATGGGTTATGAATAACTGGGAGTTGATTTTGCATACTAATTTTTTTTATTATTATGCGAATAACTTTTTTTGTATGATACCTATACTTCAGATTAATTCAATTCATTTTTTTATGTGGGAAATATAGAGGAAATTGGTACAATGGTACAAGGACTTGGTACAATTAACAAATTTTTGATGTAATTATTGAATTTGGCATTCTAGGCATGGATTTAATACCTTCCTGGTATAAAGAGGGGTTGGTACAATGGTACAAGGATCTTTTCGGATATTTTATATATATAGGTATAAGTATATTATGAAGTTATAATTTCGTCCTTGTACCATTGTACCAATGATTGTTAATTTTGATTTAGGTATAATATATATATATATTGGTACATTTGTTGGTACAATCTTGGTACAAGGATGGGGTTTTGTTCTTTGTATCAGTATATTATATGGGATGTTTTTTAATCTTTGTGGCAAAAAATTTATTTTGAGCCTCTGTCTTGGGGCTAGTTTTAGAATTTTTGTATGAGCCACAAAGGGGTGATACCTCAAGGGATTCGACCAATCAGGTCAATACATTCCCTCCTCCGATGACTCTGAGAAGGCCTTACACACTTATTTCTTTTTAAAAAGGGGGAAATTCGAAGGCAAGGTTGTGGTTTTTGATGGATGTTTGCATTTTTGGTGGCCACTATCTGGTTCTAATTTTGAAAATTTTCTTCATTTCTCAAGCATCAATGTGGCTAGCTATCTATTGAAGTGGTAATTTTTAATGTACTCATAATGTCCCTTCCTATTGGGGGAAACATCAAAGCTTCCAAGTCAGGGTTTCCAAATAAGATCAGAAGTTTGACATTGTTTGATTCAACAAAACTTACAATCAGTATACTGTAGTTTGTGTCAGTTGGCTTTTTATTTGATAATTTAGGTATAATTTTTATTATATTTAAATT